CGTTTTAGCCCCCACTCCTAAACTTTGATTCGTTTTATCTAAGTATTGTTTTATTATACAACAAAATAAAAAATACGTGTTTAATATTTTTTTATTACCTAAGTTACGGACTAATTATATTTTTAATTTTCATACCCTGTCATCATCCCCATTGCAACCGCTATAGACGTAAAACGCACCGTGAAAAAAGCTTTGATTTTTTACATACACATAGACTGCACGGTTGGTGCGGTGGCTGGGCAACCGGCTGCCGGCCGTGCAACGTGTCGCGGGTTCGATTCGCGCACGGGACAATACTTTGTGTGATTCACAAATTGTTGTTTCGGGTCTGGGTGTCATTGTGTATGTGAACTTGTATGTTTGTAAACGCACCCACGACACAGGAGATAGTCCTAGTGTGGGGTAACGTTAAAAAAAAAACATCGGTATTAACTTAAAACCGCGGCTTACTGAATATACTGAGAAAAGCTCTACTAGTTTCGAACCACAGAGGGGTTCTTCCTCATGAGCAGCGTGCGCTGTCGCAGTATATTCACGTGAGTAACCCGCGATTTTAGTTAATTTAGTATGTCTCACGATAGTTATTATAAAAACATATCTGTATTGTACGAAGGCTGCGGGCTCACAACAGCTAGCGGCCGTCGCGGGAGAAAATCAGGCCGTGAGTTCTTAGCCTTATGCCAATGATAGTGATGTACTCATTACTTAGATTTAACATGATGGGGTCTACCATATTTTTGCTAACCACATGGCGCATATTATGTAGCAAGAGTTTTTGTCATATCAGTGTAGCTTAACTAAAAATCGTAGGTTACTCACGTGAATATACTGAGAAAAGCTCTACTAGTTTCGAACCACAGAGGGGTTCTTCTTCATGAGCAGCGTTGGCGCTCGCCTCGATGTTGCTACTTGCGCATCCAGCTCAACGCGCCCTCTGCCGGACACTATGAACCTTTGCTTCCAACTCTTGCCGGCGCGCCAGACGATGTTGACGCGCACGGTACGTTCACGAGTGGCGAATATAGTGGGTTCGATTCCGGCTTCGGCACAAAGTCAGAGCTACATATAACGCTTACTGTGCGGGCTCGGAGGGATCAAGCTGTGGATCAGTCCTCGACGAGCTTGGTCCTTGTGGAGAGCAAGTGGACTGTATAATGAAACTGAGAAACTCTTGTACACTGATATACTTTAATTATGATAATGTTAACAACACTAGTGGAGATTCACAATACATATTAGGTCGATTGGCTATGATCGACTTTATTATAACGACTACACACACTGTTCTAACGCTCTGATGAATTGACACACTGACACACTGACTGTGTGATTTATCATTGACAACTGATTGCGCCTCGCAAGGAGGCGTCCTTTTATAGGCGAGCCGCGCGCGGACAGGATTAATCCTGTCGCTATGGGCGCGCGACTCGGCCGCTCTGCGACGGAATCATGTCCGTACATGCTCAAAGGCAAGTTCAACCCAATCAGCGGCGGCGCGGAATAAAGGATCGCCGCCGCACGCCTTTGATATTCGTGTCTGAACTTGCCTTTTTGTCATGGTTCGGACATGTTCGGAACACGTCGCGGGCGGCTCGCGGCCTAGCATTGCCGTCGTGCACACTTACGACGTAGACTCCAAGCTCGGCTTTCATGAGAGTGGCAGTACCCATCACTGTAGCTGTCAGATATTAAATGACAAATGGTGTCCTCATCATCATCAATCAGCCGAAAGACGTCCAATGCTGGACAAAGACCTCCCCCTTAGTCCTCCACGAACCGACGACCTCGAACGACAACTCGCCACCCGCATCCACTGACTCCCCGCAACTCTGGCGATGTCGTCGGTCCACCTAGTGGGAGACCTGCCCACGCTTCGTCTTCCGGTCCGTGGTCTTCACTCAAGGAGTTTCCTGAGTTCTATTGCTGTGGCACTAGCTAAATCCTTATTGGACGAAAAGCGAGTTTCACACTAGTGCCATCTAGTGAACGAAAACGGTACTACCATTAGTCTGTAATAGTGTTTGAAGTTCGTTATTTATACGATACAATAAAGTAATCACCATAACTGACTGGTGACGACTGCCAATTCGGAGTCTCGGAGAACTTAACGGGTAACCGGGGCTCCGGCTCGACGTGCAGGAGAAGGAACGGGGTGGTTTTTAGTCAGTAAGAGTCTGACACTCTCCCGCCTCACCCAGGCGGGAGCAGTAATTCGATGATTTTCCCCCCTTAAAAAAAACTGGTGACGACTAGGTGCACATTTCTACCCATCCCCTTGGGTAGGTAGAAAATAACTAATGTTACTGTTTATTTCTTAAAATAAAATGTTTACTATGTTATTGTTTTTCATTTTAAACCGACTTCAAAAATAAAAAAGGAGGATCTCTGTTTCATCACAGAAATAGTAATAAATCTTATTTATGGTTTGACCTGTATTTATGTATGTATATTAATTATTGTGCCAGCCTCCAGAGACGGATTAACTCATTAGCTGACACGACTCGATACTCGTAGTCATTGTGCCGATGCACAATGATAGCCGAATCTACATTCCACACGCCGACAACCTCGTGAGCCAAATCAAGATATTTGATTTGTTTATTATTATTACTATTATGACAGAATCGTGTCATTTAGTGTTATATTGTATCTGCATAACAATCGGAGACAGGTATTTCTTATTTATCAGACAAGCCTGCAAACGAGCAGGCAGATCACCTGATGGTAAGCGATCGGCGTCGCCCATGGACACCTTGAACACCAGTTATCAGCCTTTTTGGGGTTTAGGAATTTCAAGATTCAAGAGGGGGGGGGGAGGGGGTTTATTAAGCCTCCGGTGACCTCACTTACATGACGAAACACAACGCAAGCGTTGTTTCACGTCGGTTTTCTGCTCGGCCTTGGTATCTGGTGGCACTCCGGTCGAGGCGGCCCAGCAGTGCCGAAGCATTGCTCTCCCACATTTAGGCATATCTAAGTTTAGGAAACATAGAATACAGTCAAGCCGATATTTTCTAAAAAAACCGAAAACAATTGTGTTTGTAAATTCGAGGCATGCAAGCGGGGTGAACAATAGAACAACAAATTAAATACATAATATTACATCAAGATTTAAGGCGTCTAACAAAATATTAGGCGGAGACTTATTTTAGAATGCGATTATGCGATTTTTGCGGTTTGTTCCGTCAACAGTCCGAGACAGTCCAGCGCTGGACTAACGACCTCATTTCACAGATGGGGCCTAACAGGGCTGATGCTTATACGGAGCCGCGAAAGACCTAACGGGTTGCTGGGGCTCCGGCTCGACGTGCAGCAGAAGGAACGAGGTGGTTATTAGTCAGTAAGATCTGACGCACCCTCCCGCCTCACCCGGGTGGGAGAAGTCATTGGATGATTTTCCCCCTCAAAAAAAAAGGACCTCATCTACATAAAAGCGGTTTGCCATAACGTGGGTTGGCGATCGCAGTTCCATTGATTCCAATTTCGCTGATTTAGAGGCCTTAGTACGAGTTTGATTTAAGTTTAAAGTATTCGTAACGAGTACGCGTTCGGCACTCTGATTGGCCGGCACCAAGGAACCAACGGATCTCTTGATTGTAAGCAATCGGCGTCGCCCATGGACACCTAGAACACCAGAGGCGTTACAAGTGCGTTACCGGCCTTTTGGGGATTAGGAGTTTGAGGATCGTTGGGGATTCAGGGATTGGGGAGACTGGGGAAGGGGAGGGTAATTGGGCCTCCGGTAACCTCACTCACACGACGAGACACAACGCAAGCGTTGCTTCACGTCGGTTTTCTGCTCGGTCGTGGTATCACTCCGGTCGAGCCGGCCCATTTGTACCGAAGCATGGCTCTCCTACTTTGGCTTACATAATTTACAACGTTAAAAGATTAAAAGATAAAAGACAAAGAAGAAAAAACACTAGCCACTTCCGCGCGGTTTCACACGCTCTGCTCAGCTCCTACTGGTCGTAGCGTGATAGTTTATAGACTATAGCCATCCTCGATAAATGCGCTATCCAACACAAAAAGAATTATTCAAATCGGGCTGACTGCATGGTTGGTGCGGTGGCTGGGCAACCGGCTGCCGTGCAACGTGTCGCGGGTTCGATTCCCGCACGGAACAACACTTTGTGTGACCCACAAATTGTTGTTTCGGGTCTGGGTGTCATTGTGTATGTGAACTTGTATGTTTGTAAACGCACCCACGATACAGGAGATAATCCTAGTGTGGGGCAACGTTAAAAAAACAGACCTGTGGTTACGGAGATTAGCTCGTTGAAACAAACAAACAAAAACACAAACTCTTCCGCTTTATACCTATATAACTAGCTACTTCCGCGCGGTTTCACTCGCTCTGCTCGGAGCGTATAAATCGTAGCGTGATATTTTATAGAATTATTCAAATCAGACTTGTAGTTACGGAGATTAGCGCGTGCAAACAAACAAACACAAAACTAACTCTTCCGCTTTATATACATAACATAACATCACGCCTTTTATCCCCGAAGGGGTAGGCAGAGGTGTACATTATGCCATTGTACAATGTAACACCCACTTTTCACTATTTATGTTATGAGTCCCATGTAATAGGGGGTGAGCCTATTGCCATATACCGGGCACAATTCCAGACTCCGTGCTACTACTGGGAATTTTTGAAAAACCCAGTAATACTTTGCCCGACCCGGGAATCGAACCCGAGACCCCTTGCCTGGCAGTCGCACTTGCGACCACTCGGACAATGAGGCAGTCACCGCTTTATATAATAGTATAAAATATAAGATTCTTATCGTTAAAGCGCATTATTATTTTGTTTCATAAGAACACTGCCTTATAGCACAGTTTTGCTTGACTTATTATATCCAATGTTTACTAAATTGCTACCAAATTACATGTACCTAACTATGTTAATCCGGTACCATTTTCTTGATATTGCACTCAACACATCGGAATAATGGTCGATATGAGTACTATATCGGTAAAAACTTTAATAATTTCATTATTTTTACAATTTTCATGTGTTTTTTCTGGTAATGGGACGCTGAATGGATCAGGTTTGTACATCTTTTTGTTATTTTTTATGGGGTGAAGTCTTTGAGGGATCGATAAATTATTGTTTCAGGTCTGGGTAAGTTGTATATATGAATTTGTGTGTTTGTAAACGCACCCAGGACTCACAGGAGAAAATATCTTTTTTTTTTTTTGAGGGTGAAAATCATAACATAAAATCACGCCTATTATATAAGGTACTTAATGCCACTGTACAATGTAACACCCACTGTTCACTATTTATGTTATGAGTCCCATGTAATAGGGGGTGAACCTATTGCCATATTGCCATTGCCATGCTCAATTCCAGACTCCTTGCTATTACTGGATTTTTTTTTTAACCCAGTAATACTTCGCCCTATCCGAGAATCGTACCCGAGACCAAGGGGTCTCCGGGCAAGGGCCTGGCAGTCGCACTTGCGACCACTCGGCCAACGAGGCAGTCATGTGTGGAATATTTAGATAAATATTCCACAGTTAATAGATGAGCTGTATAAAAGATAAATAAATATATGTATCTTTATTATTTCAGAGGAACCAGAAAAAGAAGGTACGTAATAACAAAGATTAGCTACTTCCCCGCAGTTTCATCCACTCTGCTGAGCGCCTATTGATCGTAGCTTGATATTTAATAGCCTATAGCCTTCCTTAACTCGTCGAGTACCGGTTTTGTAGACACAATTATAGAACAATAGGTTGCGGTCACCGGTGACCGCTTGGTGTTTGACAGTTTAATAAATGGACTATCCAACACAAAAAGAATTTTTGAAATCGGACTAGTAGTTACTGAGATAAGCACGTTCAAACAAACAAAGTCTTCAGCTCTATATTAATTCTTCTTTTTGATCTTCTTCCTCCTTTCATCTCATTTTATCTTCTTCCATTCTCCCCTATCAGACGTTTTCACATCAGAAAATCATTTCTATCCAAAGGAGATCATTTTTTTGGGCTTTTCTGAAAGTGCCAACGAAAAAAAATGCTACGTATAGAAAGAAAAACATTTATTCAGCACCAGGTACGATGCAGCATAAATAAAATATTAAAAAGAGAATATAGGTTTGACAGTGGTAATAAAAAACATAAGTAATAAAAACATTGAGTTGAAAAATTAAAACAGAAGAATTAGAAGAGAGACGCTGACTACATGCCCATGCTAAAAGGGTCACCCACTCAGTGTAAGCCAGGCATACAAGTCACCCAGCACTGATTTTCAGTGGGCACCCATGCAGTGACGCACGTATAGTAGCAATGTTTTATGGTTAAGTGTATGTGTGTGTGTGTGTGTGTGTGTGTGTTATCGTATTGTTACAACTAGCGATTTGGACCAATAGTTAATATGGCATGAAAGTTATAGGATCCTAGATGAAGGACCGGAGTGATACCACGGCCTCACAGCAAACCGACGTGAAGCAACGCTTGCGTTGTGTTTCGTCGAGTGAGTGAGGTTACCGGAGGCCCAATTACCCTCCCCTTCCCCAATCTCCCCAATTCCTGAAGCCCCAACGATCCTCAAAATCTCCAAAAAGCCGGTGACGCACTTGTAACGCCTCTAGTGTTCCAGGTGTCCATGGGCGACGCCGATTGCTTACCATCAGGTGATCCGTCTGCTCGTTTACCGGCTTATGCCATAGAAAAAGGAGTTATTTCCAAGATTCATCATTTTTTAGTCCGTAAGTTAAGTAATGAAAAAATATCAGACACGTATTTTTTTATTTTGTCGTATTATAAAACAATACTTAGATAAAACGAATCCAAGTTCAGGAGTGGGGGCTAAAACGTCATTTCTACGTTTAAAATGTACATAGAAGTGACGTCACGCGACATTTCAAATCAATATATCGTCGAAAGTAAGTAAGTAGTGACTTTTTTTTTTTTTTAAAAAAAAGTAAGTAGTGACTGCCTCGTTGGCCGAGTGGTCGTAAGTGCGACTGCCGGGCAAGGGGTCTCGGGTTCGATTCCCGGGTCGGGCAAAGTATTACTGGGTTTTTTCAAATATTCTCAGTAGTAGCACGGAGTCTGGAATTGTGCCCGGTATATGGCAATAGGCTCACCCCCTATTACATGGGACTCATAACATAAATAGTGAAAAGTGGGTGTTACATTGTACAGTGGTATATGTGCACCTCTGCCTACCCCTTAGGGGATAAAAGGCGTGATGTTATGATGTTATATTGTCGAAATTATTCGTTTCTGTACGAAAATAAAAAAAATACTTGTCTAATGATTTAAAATAATATACCAGACGGACATTGAACAAAAAATTAGTCATCTACCCTATTGTGATATAATAATGCGAAAAATTTAGCAATCGATTTTGTTTTGTTGAAATTTCTTCAACTGAGTCCTCTCGTCCTGGGGGACGTAGGAGGGAGTGCTAGTCCTATTGCTGACTAAAAAGCATCTCTATTCAACTACTACTCCGTCCCGGGCCCACAAATGTATGGAGCCGAAATGATCTCTTTTATATGAACGACTAGCCTCTGCTACCGGCTTCGCCCGCGTTCCCGTGACCTGTGTTATTCCAGACCATAATCTATCCCTATTCTTAATTTCATCTAGATTCATTCACCCGTTTTGACGTGCAATAGCAACAAACAAAAGAACAGACATTTTGATTATTTTTGATTTATAATATTAGTAGTATCTTAACATTTCTTACACAATCTTCTTTTTACATTTAAAGACAAATTTTTCGGAGACCTAAATGTAATCACCAAGGCATTTGCCAAGTGCGGGGATTATGAAATCGTTCTTTTTAAGAGGAAAATTTATTAGCACCGATCGCAACACGACTACTGTTGAAAAATACATCCAAATATATGATTAGCCATAATCCCCAGACTTGTCGAACTGCTTGGGGATTACAGTTACGTCACTGATTTTGTACTTTACACTTCTTCCTATCTGTGCGGGGATTTAACATGTAATATTCCTGATTTTTTTAGGATCGGTTTGTCGTGCTAGCGAATACAATTTTGGACTGTGTAAGAGGATCTCACAATGCACGGGACTTTTCAAAAATGTGACAACTCTTAAATTTCACAAGGTAAATAACTGTCTCAAACATCATCATCATCATCATCAACAGCCTATAAGTGGCCACTGTTGACCAAATGCCTTTTCTCACACGCAAGAGCACTAATCACCACACTTGCTCAATGCGGGTTGGCGATTTCAAACTCATAATTTGAAATTATAAGCCCAGGATTCCTCATGATGTTCTCATGAACATCGACCTATCAAGTATAAAAAAAAATCTTGGTAAATCCATAAGGCTTAAGGGCAACCCGAGTCACGGCCACCGGCAAACGAAGAACACCGCGGTGGCCTTTTAGCCGGTAAGTGTGGGTGAGCCATGCTTCGGCACGAATGGGCCGGCTCGACCGGAGTGATACCACGGCTTCATAGAAAACCGACTTGAAGCAACGCTTGCGTTGTGTTTCGTCGTGTGAGTGAGGTTACTGGAGGCTCAATTACCCTCCCCTTCCCCAATCTCCCCAATCCCTGAATCCCCAACGATCCTCAAACTCCTAATCCCCAAAAGGCCGGTAACACACTTGTAACGCCTCTGGTCTTCCAGGTGTCCATGGGCGACGCCGATTGCTTACCATCAGGTGATCCGTCTGCTCGTTTACCGGCTTATGCCATAGAGGCTGGTACATCCCCGTCATCGCCACGACGTGGGAAGTCCACGAGGATTTGCATCGCTATATAAAAAATAATGGTTTAGGAATCGTTCGTTGATGAAAAATGCGGTGTACAGCTGGAAATTAAAAAAAAAATCAGTATTTGCACGGAGTCTGGAAATGTGTCTGGTATATGGCAATAGGTTCTCCACCTATTACATGGGACTCATAGTTTAAATAGTGAAAAGTGGATGTTACATTGGACAGTGGCATTAAGTGCCGTAATGTGCACCTCTAGCTACCACTTCAGGAATGAAAGGCGTGATGAAAACGGCGATTAGATTTTCAAACTAATTTCTTTATGTCTTTCCAGTTTTGTTCCTTCAGTTGGAAGAGGCCTTTAGTGTGTTGCCCAATCTGCCAATTCGATGATGATATGTAAGTAACACTTTTACAAGATTTTGTTTAACTCACATTGTATGCGTGTGTAGGCAACTCTATGGGCTCGAACACAAAACTGCGATGCGATTCGAATCCGCAACGCAAAAAATTACGATGCGAATTGCTGCGATGCGATTTCGTGCGACAAGGCGACTCCAAATAATCATTCCTTCGACGACTGTCAACCGTACTAAATAAACGTAACTATTTTGAATTGAAAACTAGGTCGTGACATGGATCGTCAAAATAAGTGTGCACTTCTGTTATTGCTTAAGAGATACAGGAAAAAGAAACAAAGAAGATTTTGAGAAGATAAGATTTTGATGCGCGATGCGAATCAATTCGCAAGTACTCGCGATGCGTAGAGGGAGCTCGCACATCTTTGCGATGCGACGTCGCATCGCCGTTTTGTGTACGAGCCTTATGTTAAAAACCTCCTTTGTAGCGCGATAAGAAAAATGGTGGTAACGTGGTGTGTTCGCGTTCGCGCTAAAATTCAAAATTCGAAGCCCCGCCCACGCCTCGCTCGGGTTCCGCGCTCGCGCCATCAGTCACCGCCGAGACGTTGTCAGTGAGCGTGTTTAAAAACGCTCCGCGTTCCCGCCAATTTTCCCAGTTTCTTGAATTTGTTGAGGACACATTCAGCCCTAATCTGTTCCAGTGTGTATGTGTGTGTGTCAACAGAATTTTGACGCAGATATCTTCAGTCGATTGGTCTAAAATTTTGTATAGCTACACTACAACATGCTCAGCTGCGTAAAAGCTTGTTTTTAAAAAGATTTATATTGCTAAGTACCTACTATTGGTATCAATATTAACGTTTGGTCAGTTGGTAAGCAGACACATACAATACATCGAAGTACATCGCAACACCAGAGGTAGGTATCACGAGTGCTTTGCGGGTGATTTAGAAGAAATATTCTGGGGAAATTAAATATTTAACGTAAAATGTTAAGATTTTTTTGTGGTTCAGATTTTCGAAATACAGTCGTGTGCGGTTGTTTAACAGTGTTTCAAAAACACATCTCTTATGCATGAGGACGTGTGTTCGAAACCTACCAACAGCACATGTACCTTCTAAGATTATTTAGACACCACTCGCACAATCGAACCAATAAAACTATGTAACTAGAGAATTGTATTGTGAACCTGATTGGAAAAGAGTAACCTATGGAGTTTTTTGCTCGTTCTTCTCCATAGCAATCTACACCTTGGAATGAGCAAATAGCTTCACTTTTAATTTTTTTTTTGCCTGCGTTTAAAAGTGCCTTCCTGGTCTAAATGAAATAAATGATTTTGACTTTGACTTTGGCTTTGACCACTGACAATATAGGTACCTACCTAAACGGTGAAGGACAACATTGTAAGCTAACCCAAGCCAAATGCCATTTAGCGCTTGTCTACTTGTAGAATAGAAAACCAAATTATATGGAATTGACGTAAATTTTGACACTTGTCAGTGTCATCCCCATACATTTAGTTTTCTACTCTCTCTGTAGACAAGCGGTAAAGTGGCGTTTGGCTAAAGGCACTGAGCTTACAATTTCTAATTATAAGTATGAAATTACGATCCCGCATTGTGCAAGCGTGGTGAATAATGCTGAAACCTTCTACGTGTAAGAGAGTGGCCTTTGGTCAGCAGTGGACACTTATAGGGTGTTGATGTGTGTTCCTATATAACAATTTTTCTGTTCCAGCTACAACCACCTAAGTACTAAACAAGAAAAACCGAAACCCACTGGTAAGTTGTACTTTCGCGAGACGATCTCCGGCCACCGTAAGCATGGGCCTGCGGACGGCGAGCACGGGTGACTCGCGAGCCGCCCGACCAGAACCAGGCCCGAGCGTACGGCGCGTCGCGTTCCGCGCGCGCCTCAAGGAGCCATCAGACCACCACGGATGGGGCCCAACAGGGCTAATGCCGATACGGAGCCGCGGAAGACTTAACGGGTTGCCGGGGCTCCGGCTCGAAGTGCAGGAGTAGGAACGGGGTGGTTTTTAGTCAGTAAGAGTCTGACACTCCCTCTCGCCTCACCCGGGCGGGAGAAGTCATTCGATGACTTTCCCTATCAAAAAAAAAAAAAGTTGTACTTTGTACAGATTCTCCATTTACAAATAACATATCATCACGCCTCTTTACCCCCGAAGGGGTAGGCTGAGTACGACACTTAATGCCACTGTACAATGTAACACCCTTTTCTCTATTTATGTTATGAGTCCCATGTAATAGGGGGAGAGCCTATTGCCATGTACCGGGCACAATTCCAGACTCCGTGCTACTACTGAGATTATTTTTAAAAACCAAGTAATACTTTACCCGACCCGGGAATCGAACCCGAGACTTGTCCGGCGGTCGTCGTCGATCGATAGTCGTCGGTCGATTACATACAAAATAAATAATAGTCTGTCAGTCAGTCCGTCAGTGAAGAATTCCAAAATCTAGATTCGAATGGAGAAGAACGAGCAAGAAACTCCATTTGTTACTCTTTTTAAAAAAGTATGTTCTACGATGTCTCTGATACATATTCCAATACTGTACGCATATGTGAGAACAATGCAAAGACACGCTTGGCGCATTATACTAATTACAAAACTTACTAAAATAAAAAAGTAAAAATCTTATAGTCTAACATGGTGCTCACATTTGCATACTGACAATCCATAAAAATAGAGCTTCTATACAGGAAGAAGGAAACTCTTTGTTTCAATAAAGAAAGAAAGAAAGAGTTAGAGTGAGCACACGCGCATGGAGCCGGAGCGTTAAAGTAGTGTAGGCGGGTAGGTATGGTGCAGTTCAGATACATTTTAATGCAGTTGACACGACTACAATGTAACTGCAAACTAATCTAGCAGTCCGATTGCAGTCGGCGTGCAGTTGTGTGAATTGCACTGCAATCAAACTGTTTTCGAACTGCAAATTTGCAGTTGGATTGCAGATGAAATGCAGTCCGTCTGTCTTTTTTTTAAGGGGGGAAAATCATCGAATGGCTGTTCCCGCCCTGGGTGAGGCGGGAGGGAGTGTCGTACTCTTACGACTAAAAACCACCCCGTTCCTACTCCTGCACGTTGAGCCGGAGCCCCGGTAACCCGTTAGGTTCTAGTCCGTTTGTCTAGAGCCTAAGAGTCAGACTCTCTCTCACCTCCAAGGCGGGTGAAGTGAAGTCATTGGATGATGCTCTTCACCTCAAAGAAAATTAACGTTTGCTCTTCATTTCCCAGATTGTGTATGGGATATATACATAGATAGAGTACCATGCAATACATTGGAAGACTTCAAAGACCTGGACGGAAGTATAATGTGTGATAAAATACGGGACCCTCGTAATCTGCGGCAGGTCATAGCTGGAGGAAGAAATGCTGAGAGGAAGCAGTTCCCTCACATGGTGAGGTGACAACATTTTTAATTCACATAACAGACTATAAGTTCATTCATGGTAGATGTCCCTCCCATTATATCATACTAGCTTTTACCTGCGGTTTCGCTCGCGTCACAAAAGGATAAAAAGTAGCCTATGTGACATATACCTATACACATGGCGCCATCTATACCAATACTTTTGTTTTCCCTCGGGAATATCAAATCAAATTTTTCCGGGATAAAAAGTACCCTATTATTTAATCCAGACTTCTAACTTTACGTCTGCAAAAATTCAAAGCAATCGGTTTAGTAGTTACGGTGTGAAAGCGGAACAAACAAACAAACAAACTCACTTTCTAATTTATAGTAAGGATTTGTCTGGACTTTAAAAGAGACAGACCTCTGAGTTTGTTTCGGCATTTCTTCTCAGAGTAGTCAGTTAGGAAATGTCGGCCTCATCGTTCGCTTGATAAAATTGACGTGTAAAAGTGCTGCCTTGTAGCCTATTTGTAGAAATAAATTCACTTGTTTCATAATTCGCACGAAGCGCTTCGCTTCCAGCTTCCTTGTGCGTACTGCTAAGGAGTGGAATTCTTTGCTAGAGTCTGTTATTTCTGAACCTGAAGAGGCAAGATAGTGGCCAAACGTTGGACAAAAAAAATGTGCCTATATCTGAGCAAAGACTTCTTCTCACACGGAGGTTTGAGCATTAAGCTTCAAGCCTGCTCAATGATGGTTGTCGAATTTAAATTTATAATTAGAAATTTTAAGTTCAGGGCGCTTACTTTAGAAACCAATCTCAATTTCAATGCAATTTCAATCCAATAAAATCTCAATAATCATTCAATGTCAAAACTATACAACCACAATCGTAGCGATTAGAATAGCATTTAGAATACGGAAAATAAAGCCAAACTCAATACCACTTGATTCATTAAAATCCACGCAATACGTATGCAATGGGCGCTAGTGTTGCAACTCAAGAGTATGATATTTCACAATACCAACGTCGATCGATCGGAATTGGATTCAAGAGTAAGAAAACATCGTGAGGAAACCAGGGGTGGTTTTCTCACGATGTTTTCTTCAACGTTTGTCAGTGGTTTCTAAATAATCTTAGAAAGTATATGCTTTCTAGCTTGCACTTAATTGTAATGTATTTATTTATTTATTTATTTATTTATTTATTTATTTATTTATTTATTTATTTAATGCACTAACAACTAACATTACAGATACATTCCAATACGATAGTGTAGCCATCAGTCTTACCACATCTTTTAGTACTTGCTTATTACCTAATTATAATTAAATTAAAACTTAACACTTATACATACCTATATACTAATACAATAAAGTTACCCATACAAATTTAATATCTTACATGAAACACTTAAAATTATATACTCACAATTAATCATAAACGATAATCTACTTAACACCAATTCAGTATCTACTTACTAACATAAACTATTATTAAAATAACAAACAAAGAAATAACTTTGAGACTTTTTTTAGAGAGTAAACAATTTTGAGATCGGAAACTCTATTGCAACGTAGTATTATATGCACTTATATTTAATAATACTCTCACTAGATCACTCGTATTGCACGAAAATATGTCAATGCGTCTATGAACCTCATTTACCGTGCAAATGGCTCGCGTGAGCGGGGTCTTGGCCAGAAGATTGGTCCTGGCCACAGGTACAGCGAGCAGCGGCGGACGATGTCGCCTCCATATGTATCGGTCTGGCACACACAGCTGCAGGTGGCGCAGCACTCCCGGGTTATGTGCCACACCTCGTAATAACTTTACCACGTAAGCAGCTAACATAAATTCTCTGCGCACTCTCAGCTCGCTATACCCCACCATGCCCAGCACAAACAATGTCGGGTACATTAAAGGGTAAAAAGGGTACACGCCATACAGTTTGAAGTACAAGTGCCTTGTGAACTTGTTCTGAACTCGCTCTAGCATGACACTGTACTTCGTTTCATGTGGAGCCCAGATTACCGCACTATGTTCAAGGTGACTTCTGACTAAAGCATCATAAAGTACCTTTAGCGTTGATATCCTATTGAACCCCTGTGTCTGCCTCAGTACAAACCCCAAGTTCCTATACGCCTTTTTACACACCTTAATAATATGTTCCCGAAAGGTTAAGTCTGGTGTCATTACGACTCCGAGATCTCGAACCTGAGCAGCCCGCTTCATTGGTACAGACTCCACCGTGTACTCATATTGTGTTGGTGTTTTTGCACGAGTAAATGTCATCATGGAGCATTTGTCCACATTGAAATGCAGTCTATTTCTCTGGCTCCAATCTACTACTCTTTGTATATCTTCTTGAAGACGTTCAGAATCTGATACATCTTTAATTTCCAGCAGCAACTTGAGGTCATCAGCAAACAACAAACAAAGAGCATGCTTGACTACCTCTGGCAAATCGTTGATCATTATAATGAATGCCAATGGCCCCAAGTTGCTACCTTGACTTACTCCGGACCTAGCGAAATATGGTTCAGACTCGGAACCCCTATAGTCAACATACTGCTGCCTGTTCTTCATGTAACTGGCGAAGAAGTTTAACAGGTGTGGCGTAAACCCCATCTCCGCCAATTTACTGAGCAGTATGTCGTTATCAACCGTGTCGAATGCCTTTTTAAAATCGAAATAGGCGGCATCTACCTGCACCCCGGCGTCCACTGCCGGCACCACGCGCGCCATGAAGTTAAGTAGATTAGTGGCAGTACTACGCCCCGGCCTAAACCCGTGCTGCGCATCTGCTAACCGAGCCTGCACCTGTGTTTGCACACTGGCTTGAATAGCAGACTCGAACACCTTTGCCGGGGTCGACAGCACCGCCACTGGTCTATAACCCTGGACATCCTGGCTTGGTTTGCCTTTAGGAACCGGAATGACGCGCGTGATTTTCCACCGAGCTGGAAACGTACCTTGTTTCAAGCACATATTAAATATATAATGTAGAGGGTCCGCCAGCACCCTACCACAGTCTCTAAACAGAAACGCAGGCAACCCGTCTGGGCCCGCTGACCGCTTTGGTTTAAGTTTACTGATCGCGTTCTTAACATCTTGGAGATTAAGAACCCCGATATGCACCCGTGCACTGTTGGGCCGCGCCTCCCCAGCCGCTACCCGCACATCCAGCTGAGGTGGTTCCTTATTGTAGACTGATTCAAAGAATCTAGCAAATTGTCTAGAACATTCATGATCTGTGAGGTACTGACCATCCTTCACTATGCTTTGCCTATTTACTCTACTTCTCTTAGATTGAATATACTGCCAGAATGATTTTGGATCTTTTGCAAACTGATTTTGAATTTTATTTTTATGTTCATTATGTGCAAGTTTTATAGCTTTTTTAATTCGGGCTCTGTACAATGAAAACTCGTAGTAATCACTATCGAGCTTCGTTTTCTTAAATTTTTTATGAAGTTTAGCTTTAATTTGTATATCTTTAATAATTTCTGATGTATACCACTCAGGATATATGTAACGAGATTTTTTATTATAATTGCTACAAAGATTCTTACGCGGTACACATTTATCTAATACATTATAAAGTTTATGATAAAACATATTCAACACCTCCTCCAAATCATGTTGTTCATAAATTTCCCCCCAATCAGTCGTAGTTAGCGTAGAATAAAGCAATTGATAATCAGCCTTATAAAAATTCCACCGTGGTCTAATACTACTCGCGCCGCTACAGCTGTTCGCGATGGGGGTGAGCGGGGTGTGTGCGGGCGCGGGGAGCGCGGGGCCGAGGCGCACACACACCGCGAGCGGTGGGTGATATGCGTCGATAGGTACAAGAGGCTCATCCGCCACCGCGACCGTCACGGCTTCACTAAAACCTGCACTTAGAACCAAATCTAACTGCCTCCCTTGACAATTGGGTACAGTATTATTTTGAGTAAAGTCGCAGTAAGACATAAAACATTCGTAATAATTACTAATATTAACAGTACATGAATACAAATTAAAATCACCAATTACAATTACTTGTTGGTACTTATCACATAATTTTTCTATTAATCTAAATAAAGTCATATAGTCATTCTCACAACTACCCGGAGGGATATAAATCACGGAACACAAAAACAAAAAACGGTTATTAAAATGAACCGTTGCACAAACCATTTCAAACACACACGCGTCTATCGATACGTCGGTCACTTGTACTTGTCGCAGCTCGAGCCGGTGTGTGGCCACGAGAAGCGCGCCGCCTTGCTTCCGCCCGTCCGCTCGATCGCACCGAAGTATTTGATATCCCGGTGGAATAATTTCTGAATCACTTATGGACTCACTACAACCGGATTCAGTGATTGCATATAAATCGGAATTTAATGACTCAATATTAACTCTGAATTCATCCAACTTAGTGCGAAGCCCCCTCACGTTCTGATAAAAAATGTCAATATTATTCACTTGTGATATTTTTTGTTGATTTTCGAAACCAAATCCACTCATTAAACTGCGCATTAGTAGGCCATAAATCTGATGAATTCAATTTATCAAAGTGGCATTCAGGAACACCGATCACAAATGATGAGTAATCTCGCTCGGTCTTATGTTTGATTTTTTCTACTTTAATGTGAATTTCTGACCCACAAACATTTTTCACATGGTCCGTTATCGCTTCAATGGTCGTATCTGTATGCAAATGCCAAACATGCAGGAATTTTTTCCTCTCATTTGCCTGGATTCCCTTTAACTCCGCATTTGTGCCCACCCCCACATCTCTAGGTTGTCGGTTAATTTTCCGGGTCCGTACTACCGTCGTCCAGCCAGTATCCTTATCATTCTCCTCACCTGACGGCCCAGTAGATTCCTTTCCGTTGCTAACACTTGTTATGTCAATCGCTTTCACGGCAGACTTTGTGGCCCCACGTTTGTTCACCTTCAACGTTTTGGCGTAGGTATTAGAAATTTTTGCAGAATTATTTGAATTGTTTTGTTGACTAACAACTGTCGCAAAAGTGGAATTGGGTGGAAATGTATCCTGTATCTCAATAACTGGTGGTTTATCCTGGGCTAATCTGGCGGTCACCTTTTCTTCGAGCACCCTCATTACTTTGATAACATTATCCAACTCGTGTTTCGTTTGAGTAAATTGGTTCAATAACAAGGAAATCGCATTTGCTTGGCTATCCATACGAGTTATCATTTCAGACCTAAATTGTCTCAATTCCGCTAGCAAAGCTGAGTCCGAGTCTATCATCATAGGAGTAACATGAACTTGACTACCGCGCAAAGTACTTATGCTATTCAACGGAGTAGTAGAAGACAGCTGGAAGTCAAGTGAGCGGATAGGTGTTTCACTATTTCCTCTTTTTGGCCTAGCGCAAACACACTCTGGGCACATCCAACCTTTCTTAAATTCTTGGGTATAGGTCTTAAATACTTCGACGCTTATTTCAAGACAATCGAGATGATATTTCTTTCTACATTTACCGTTGGCACATTCCATGAAAGAGTTCTTTACTGTAGAGGTACAAGCACCACAATTGCTTGCCATATTTGCTAGGTACGTTCGCAATAATTCAATTCTAGGAATAATATTTGAATTTAGTTCTTACTCTTAGCTCTACTCACTGTTAAATTCCGTTTTAAGTGTGCGACAGAGACTAAATATTTCGTTTTCGCAGTCCGTCTCGTTTACTCGAGGTGAAGAGGGGCTTACCTCAGCGCACTCGGACTACGCGATCCTGCACTCGCGAACTTATTGTGTTTAGAACAGTTCACACAACTTTAGTTATTATAACACTTATTGCCAATGTACATTATGAGTCAATATTGCATTCCTGCATAATTATTTTTTTACACCAATTTTTTGGGTAAAATAACAAAAAACACGTCTACACTGACCGCGTTACATCACGTTAAACTTCAGTGAGTCGGAGAGATGAGTTCGCAGTGTCCCACGGTGAGTCTGGGAATCTTAACTGTAACTTCTTCCATTATTGTATACATATACAATAGGGTAGTATCCTAAATTTTATTTTAATGTCCGTCTGGTAGATTATTTTAAGACATTAGACACGTATTTTTTCTTTTCTCACAAAATTAAATGCTTTCGACGATATATTGATTTGAAATGTCGTATGACGTCACAGCGTGCTACAAAATGTACCACGTTGTGACGTAACTACCTCCCACTCCTAAACTTAACGCCATTTTATTTAAATATTGTAACTTTATACGACAAAATAAAAAAATACGTGTTTAATACTTTTTTATTATCTAACTGAAGGACTAATTAGATTTTTGATTTTCTTTCCCTGGAAACTACCCTATTGCAGCAGGCAGTTGTCAGATTTCGAACCCTCACTGTCATGCATGAGACCCGCTCCTCATCATAAGCTCCTGGCTACCACAACATTATTTATTTCTTAATCACGACATAGTTATTTTTTTGTATTATAACTTTTGTGAGACATACTAAATATTTTATTATGTTTTCGGTTTCCTCACGTAATTTTTTGACGAGGAACTCGACTAGTTTCATTCGCGACTGTCGCCGCGTCGCGGGTCGTGTAATGATGCTCATGAATATGAGCCTCTAGCACGGCTTGAAACTAGTCGAGTTCCTCGCCAAATAATTTCATGAGTAAGCCTAAAACATAATAATATATTTAGTTATTTTTTATTTATTCATGTCATCAACGTCAGAGGCATATTATCCCTGAGGCCAACTAGGCAAGTCTCTAGGACGCTAGGCGACAAAGGGGCGCCACAAGGCTGCGAGACGTGCGTGCATATAGCGTGGCGGGGGCGCTAAAAATATTATGGACGCCTATGAGAGATTTTTCTATGGCGCTCTCTAGACTTAGCCCACCTCTCACCGCCGTCAATAACCTTCTGTCTCACATTATGTTCTAGGCTCTGATTGGCTACGGCCCTGATCCAACCAACGCTGATTGGGTATGTGGGGGTACCATCATCACTAACAAATACATATTAACGGCTGCGCACTGTATATCTAGTCCTGCTTTGTAAGTATACATTATTCTAGTGACAACTATTCATGGTGATGGTAAGCAATCGGAGCTGGCCATGGACACCTGGAACACCAGAGAAGTTACTAGCCTTTGGAGGGAGCGTGTGGTCAACCGCCAGTGCGTATGGAACTAAGATTCAATGGAATAGGTAGGCAAACGAGCAGACGGATCACCTGATGGTAAGCAATCGGCGTCGCCCTTGGACATCTGGAACACTAGAGGAGTTATAAATGCGTTGCCGGCATTTTTTCCTCACTCCCACGGCGAAACACATCACAAGCGTGGTTTCACGCCGATTTTCTGCGCGGTCGAGCGTGCCATACATGTACCTAAACATAGTTTATAGAATAGGGTGACCAATTAGCAGACACCTGGAACACCAGAGGCGTAACAAGTGCGTTACCGGCCTTTTGGGAATTTGGAGTTTGAGGATCGTTTGGGATTCAGGCATTGGGGAGATTGGGGAAGGGGAGGGTAATTAGGCCTCTGGTAACCTCACTTACACGACAAAACACAACGCAAGCGTTGCTTCACGTCGGTTTTCTATGACGTCGTCGTCGTCTATGACGTGGTATCACTCCGGTCGAGCCGGCCCATTCGTGCCGAAGCATGGCTCTCCAACACTTAAATAGATGATATGACATTATAGTACTTCCACAGGGGCAAAATAAAATACGCAGCTCTTGGCATCCTGAAACGCGATGATGATCAGAGAATGTGGCACATATATGACATAGTACAAATTATTGGACATCCGGACTACCAACCACCATCAAAGTACCACGATATAGCTCTACTGAAAACTGGGAAAGAGTAAGTACTTATAGTCAGAATTTTAATTAGATTCCAGATTTGACAATAGCTACTGTCATTTTGTGAAATAATGATACCACATATAATAGTGTAGTGATGAACACAAAAATCGATAAACAATCAGTGTGTGTGTTTTATAATAAATGTTACAGAAAGTGACAGGATAGCGATAGCGATGACGGCGACAATTTATAAAATAACTTATTACCATAATACATCTATCTGTTTTATTTGTCATGTTCCTTCATGATTACATTTTTTTATTAATTTCACACACTATTATAAAAGAAAGGCCTTAGATCGTTAATTAATCGTCAAAACTAAAATATCGGTTCAGAAAAATTAAATTTCCTGATATACTTAGTTTACGGGAGTAAAATTATAAACGTGAAGAATCGATCCAGAAATATTCCATTTCCATATCGAATAATTTCGCAACGTCACTATTTAGTACTTGTCATAACGTTGCAACCCTGAAATTGTCAAATCTGGAATCGAATTAAAATTCCGAATATAGAATAGGAACTCGACTAGTTTGGAGTTTTGGAGCCACGTTAGAGGCTCATATTATATTCATGAGCAGCATTTCGCGACCTGCGACGCGGCGTTTGATGAATGATGAGCGAATATGAGCATGGCTTGAAACTAGTCGAGTTCCTCGTCAAATAATTACGTGAGTAAGTCGAAAAAAAATTATAATTAATTTAGTATGTCCCACGAAAGTTATAACATAAAATTAGAAATGATAAACCGAGGTTTCCTCACGATGTTTTCCTTCACCGTTTGTGTCTAGATAATCTTAGAACGTATATACATATAAGCCAGAAAAGTCACATTGGTACTTGCCGTTGGTAGGTTTCGAGCCCGCACCCTCATGCATGAGAAGCGGGCGTCTTAAACCTCCAGCCCTATATTCATATATACCACTCCTAATTCTGTCATGTGTGTCGTTAGAGCCAACTAAAGGACTACACATTTGACAGAGATCTCACACCAACGCTCCCTGATAAACCTGAACCTTTTATACTGCGACCTCCAACCCGCCTGTCCGCGGAGATTATGACAAACCCTCTTATGTAGAGGAGGCTCATAGTGCAGCAGACTGTCACAGACTGGTGATGTCCTGAATGTCTTTTTCCTGGGGCTGTGGAGACGAGAATCGCAAGGGTTGCCGTGGTCCCGGCTCTGAGCAGGAGTAGGAACTGGGTGGTGTTTAGTCAGTAAGAGTCTGACACTCCCTCTCACCTCACCCAGTGCGGGAGGAGTCCATAGGGAGGTGCCGTATCAGGCGTTGCACTGTGGGGGATCCGGGGTTGGTCTACTAAGTTCCTTCAAGTGCAGATGGTGGCCACCGGGGAGGTTTTAGTGATGTAAAAAGCCCACACTCTCTAGTCTTTTTCCTCAAAAAGCTAGGCTCCTTTTGAAGACCAACAAAAAAAAAAAGTCAGGTGGAGTAATTTGACTTTCTACGTCTTAAACTATTTTTTTTTTTAGTATTATGTTCACTGACAGTGTTCTGCCAGCCTGTCTGCTAAAAGACCCTTCTAAAGAAGCTACAGTTGCCATAGCAACAGGATGGGGCACTATGGGACATCGGAAGCCGCTTGCTGAAATATTACAGATGGTAGGTCAAGGTCCTGATGGCGCTGATATAGCGTAGGCACCTACTTATTTTTTTATTGACACTTGAGTACACAAGTATGGCGGACTTAAGTACGCAACTAAGACTAAGAATAAAGTCCAATAGGGTAGATGACTAATTTTAATGTTCGTCTGGCAGATTAATAAAAACATTAGACTCGTATTTTTGATTTTTTTACGGAAACAAATAGTTTCGAAGATAGGTATATTGATTTGAAATTTCGTGTGACGTTACTTCTATGTACATTTTATACGTAGAAATGACGTTTTAGCCCCCACTCCTAAACTTTGATTCGTTATATCTATAGTCAGAATTTTAATTAGATTCCAGATTTGACAATAGCTACTAGTGATGTAACGAATGTGTGTTTTTGAACATTCGCGAATGCGAATGCGAATGCGAATATCTGATATCGACATTCGCGAATGCGAATGCGGATGCGAATATTCAGTTTGTGTTCAAATTTTGCGCCATTTGTATGGTTTATTAGTTTGAATTATTTAGAGTATATATAAAGTTTATTGTGGAAGAATAATTAGTTTTTGTTTCAATAAGTATTACATTATTTTGTTTATTACAGATGATGATTATCTAAACGTAAAAAATATGTTAAGTTGGATAAAAGTTTCTAATTTTGTTTCTAGTTTAGTTTTTGTTTCTTTAAAGAGTTTATTTATGTTTATTTCTTATGAAACTATTATATTAACTACCTATATCTAAAGTTTCATTGCCCAAAGTAAATAAATAATACCAAATGATAAAGTAAAGACTGACAATGTGATTAAGAGGTTTACTTGCAATAAAAAGGTTACAAACGAATGGATTTTGATTTTTTCAGCCTACCATTATTTTAAAAATAGTTTTTTTGCGAATGCGAATGCGAATGCGAATATGCAAAAAATTGCGAATATTCGCGAATGCGAATGCGAATGCGAATATTCGTTACATCACTAATAGCTACTGTCATTTTGTGAAATAATGATACCACATGTAAAAGTGTAGTGATGGACAAAAAAATCGATAAACAATCAGTGTGTGTGTTTTATAATAAATGTTACAAAAAGTGACAGGATAGCGATAGCGATCACGGCGACAATTTATAAAATAACCTTTTACCATAATACATCTATCAGTTTTATTTGTCATGTTCCTTCATGATTACATTTTTTTATTTATTTCACACAATTATAAAAGAAAAGTCTCAGATCGTTAATTAATCGTCAAAATTAAATTATCGGTTCAGAAATATTTAATTTCCTGATATACTTAGTTTACGGGAGTAAAATTATAAACGAGAAGAATCGATCCAGAAATATTGCATTTCCATATCGAATAATTTCGCAACGTCACTATTTAGTACTTGTCATAACGTTGCAACACTGAAATTGTCAAATCTGGAATCGAATTAAAATTCCGAGTATAAGTATCAGTTTATTATATAACAAAATAAGAAAATACGTGTCTAATATTTTTTCATTATCTAACTGAATGACTTACATTTTTAATTTTCATACCCTGTCATCATTCCTATTGTTTAATATCTGTGTTTAGAAACATCATTGTTTCACTATGGTTTTCTGCTCGGTCATGGTATCACACCGGTCGAGCCGGCCCATTCGTGGTGAAGCATAGCTCTCTCTTACCCATCATCAAAATGACACGTATATGTCAAAACAGAAAGATCTCCAACATCACCAAAATGAGACTAGTTAAGACATTGATCTTCCCTATCTTCCTCTATGGTGCAGAGCCCTAGATCACAAAAAGATAGATGCTCTCGAAATGTGGTGTTGGCGAAGAATGCCACGGATACCATGGACTGCCACACGAACAAATAGGTCAATCCTGGAACAGCTCAATATAAAGACTAGACTGTCGACCGTTTGTTACCAGCGAATGCTTGGATATTTCGGTCACATTGCCCGCCGCCAGTCAGATAACCTCGTAAAATTGGTTGCTGTTGGTAAAGTGGAAGGAAAAAGACCACGTGGCCAATCACCTAGCCGATGGTGTGACCAAGTTACCGTAATTGGTAACTTAGTCACACCACTGGACTCTCTGTTACGAAAGCCCTGAGAGAAGCCGAAAACAGGACAAGATGGAGGGAAATGACACAGAGAGCAATGAAAGCCTTTCAGGGGCACGACCTTCAGAAATGAAGCAAGCGATCGCGAAGAAGACCGCTTACTTTATTATATTTCTGTCTATTTTCAGGTGGAAGTAGTCAGGTTTCAGGACACTGATTGCAGAAGAGCGTATCCTGTACATAGACATTTGGCTAATGGTTATGATCCCACCACGCAGATTTGTTATGGAAGCGTAGAAGAAATTAATGATACTTGTGAGGTAGGTACTCTTAAAAGTCGTGTTTTATGGTATAGCACGGCAAACGAGCAGATGGTTCACCTGATGGTAAGCACTCGTTCGCCGCCCTTGGACACCTGCAACATCAGAGGATGCGGCTCCTGAGTTACAAGTGTTGTCTTTCAGAGGAGAACCGAGGGAAGAACGCTTGGGAAACACAATACAAGACCCAGACCATTCGTGCCAAAACATAGCAACTGGTACCCGATGCGGGAAAACCCATGTGCACAAAATATTAGCCTTCATATTACGTACGAGCGGTTGACGGCGTGGCTGTTTTTTGAGGGGGGAAAATCATGCTATGACGTTTCCTGTCCGGGTGAGGCGAGCAGGAATGTCAGACTCTTACTGACTAAAAACCACCCCGTTCCTACTCCTGCACTTCGAGCCGGAGCCCCGGCAACCCGTCAAGTCCTCCACGGCTCCGTATCAACATTAGCCCTACTGGGCCGCATCTGTGGTGTTCTGATGGCTCTTTGAGGCGCGCGTGGTATGCGACGCGCCGTATGCTCGGGTCTGGTTCTGGTCCCCGTGCTTGCCGTCCGCAGGCCCACCACCTTGACCACTTCTCCTATCCACTCTCCTAAATTATGCAATCGCAAAACAAACGATATGCCAACGTGTCAGGCGATGCGATCCGCCTAGGTGGTCACGCGCTAATATGTAGTCGTACATAGTCCATTATTTTCGTGGGAAGACTTATGAGAACCACATGACATCAACAGCCTAACGTGCCCACTGCTGATCAGAAGCCCCTTCTCACACAGAGAAGGTATGACCATTGATCATCACGCTTGCTCAATGCGAGTTGGTGATTTCAAACTTATAACTAACTAGCTTTTACCCGCGGCTTCGCTCGCGTCACAAAATGACAAAAAGTAGCCTGTGACGTATACCAATACACACAGCGCCATCTATACCAATACTTTTATTTTTCCTCGGGAATATCAAATTATTCCGGGATAAAAAGTACCCTATTATTTAATCCGGACTTCTAACTTTACGTCTGCAAAAATTTAAAGCAATCGGTTTAGTAGTTACGGCGTGAAAGCGGAACAAACAAAAAACAAACAAACAAACTTTCCGATTTATAATATTAGTAAGGATTAGAAACTTATGACTGCCTCGTTGGCCGAGTGGTTGCATTTGCGACTGCCGGGTAAGGAGTCTCGGGTTCGATTTCCGGGTCGGGCAAAATATTAAGTACTGGGTTTTTAAAAAAATCTCAGTAGTAGCACGGTGTCTGGAACTGTGCCCGGTATATGGCAATAGGCTCACCCCCTAGTACATGGGACTCATAACATAAATAGTGAAAAGTGGGTGTTACATTGTACAGTGGTATAATGTGCACCTCTGCCTTTTTTTTCTTAAGGGGGGAATATCATCAAATGACTGCTCCCGCCTGGGTGAGGCGGGAGGGAGTGTCAGACTCTTACTGACTAAAAACCACCCCGTTCCTTTTCCTGCACGTCAAGCCGGAGCCCCGGTTACCCGTTAGGTTCTCATAATGTGCACCTCTGCCTACCCCTTCGAGGATAAAAGGCTCGATGTTATGTTATGTTAACTAATTCGAAATGACTAGCCCTCGATGTTTTCATTCACCGTCTATCTTTGTCTTATGATAATGATGTATTATATTATAACATTGATGGTGATTTTACAGGGAGACAGTGGTGGACCTCTACAAATGGACGCGCGACCAGGCATGCAGTGCATGGCTATTGTTTTTGGAGTGACCTCCTATGGAAAAGCATGTGGCTACAGGGGCAGCTCTGGAATGTACACAAAAGTCAGCCATTACATTCCATGGATTGAATCCATTGTTGGGAGATTACCTTATTAAAGAAGTTTTTAAGCATGTGTTGCTCTCGTCCGTGCGTCACTGCAAGAGTGCCAACTGAACATCAGTATTGGAAGCTCATTGTGCCCAGCTTTTTGCTCAGTTGGCGACCCATTCGGCTTGGGCATGTCTGCCAACACCGCACAGTATTTTACATTTTACTGTTATTATCTTGTTTTACTTTTATAATTTACCTTTTTATCCTTCTTTTCTCTCTCTTTTGTTTTAAACCTTTATATTGTTATTTTCTCAAATTGTATATTCTTTTTTTGTTTCTGGCATTCATGCCGTATGCCGAATTAAATACTTTTTCATAATGTTTTCATTTTTCATAAGTTTCAAATAAATTCATAGTTTTAAAAAAATACGTAATTTCAATTATTAGGCCCTCGCATACTCCGTCTTCAGGAGATATAGACCCTACCTAGGTTATTATTGTCCCAATTACTATAACGCACCTCGATTTTAAGTCGCGCTTTATTATGGTTCAGTCACTACATTTTTTTTATATAGCATAAGCCGATAAACAAGCAGACGGATCACCTGATGGTAAGCAATCGTCGTCGCCCATGGACACTCGAAACACCAAGGCGTTACAAGTGCGTTACCGGCCTTTTGGGATTAGGAATTTGAGGATTGTGGAGGATTCGGAGATTCGGGAAACTAAGGGGGTAATTGGGCCTCAGGGAACCTCACTCACACGACGAAACACAACGCAAGCGTTGCTTCACGTCGGTTTTCTGCTCGGCCGTGGTATCACTCCGGTCGAGCCGGCCCATTCGTGCCGAAGCATGGCTCTCCCACACTTAAAATATAAACCCTACCAAGGTTATTAATTATTATTGTCCCAATTACTATAACACCACTCAACTTAAGTCCCGCAGTATACCTACATAGTTCTGTCTCTACAAATTGTTAGTAAAACGACAAAGACGGCACGATATTTAAGTACGACTTATAATTGAGTAGCCTTTCAGTATTCAGGCGTAGTTTTACCAGTAAGTACCTAATCCTAGGTTCCATCAGCATAACATAACATAACATCACGCCTTTTATCCACGAAGGGGTAGGCAGAGGTGCACAATACGGCACGGAATGCCACTGTACAATATAAGACACACTTTTCACTATTTATGTTATGGGTCCCATGTAATAGGGGGTGAGCCTATTGCCATATACCGGGCACAATTTCAGACTCCGTGCTACTACTGAGAATATTTAAAAACCCAGTAATACTTTGCTCGACCCGAAAATCGAACCCGAGACCCCTTGCCCGGCAGTCGCAATTACGACCACTCGGCTAACGAGGCAGTCGAAAAAAAACATATTTACTCTAAATAAAACTTCAGATCACAATTCCAACCTCTTTATTTAAATCAAGGCCACACAATAGACTCGATCCAATGTAGATACGTGTACACTCTGGTATACAACCCGGTACTCCCGAGGATTCCACACTGTCTCCCGGTAGAGGTGATCCCTATCACCACGTACTGGCAGGAGGAAATGTGGAATTTGTTCTGAAGAGGGCCTCCGCTGTCACCCTGGGGAGAACGAAGGGTTTAACATAACTTCCAGGTTATTGGAATTGGCCAACGTGGCAAGGGTTGAGGCGTCATGCACACATAAATGTCCTACAGTCGGTGGCGCTGTGTGTTGGGTTGTTCCGTTCCCAATAAAAAGGTTGACCGGACCAATTGCTGACACACACGTCATACTCGTGAACAGGTGCCTTCTGCTGGGTCAGGTCGGCTCTCCCATCTTGTTGGTGGGCTGATTTCGTAGAGCCATCGAAATAGATGTAAATAGATAATACCTAATTATTATTATTTATTTTTTTTAAAATACGTTGCCCCACACTAGGATTTTCTCCTGTGTCGTGGGTGCGTTTACAAACATACAAGTTCACATACACAATGACACCCAGACCCGAAACAACAATTTGTGGATCACACAAAGTGTTGTCCCGTGCGGGAATCGAACCCGCGACACGTTGCACGGCAGCCGGGTTGCCCAGCCACCGCACCAACCGTGCAGTCATGTCATTATTAATTTAGTCATTATGTAATGTATACTTTTAGTAATAATTATAGATGTGGTTAATTGTAGTGTGTAACAGGGTACCTTATTTACTTTATAAAAATTGACTAGATGTATTGTAATAAAAAAAAAATTGTATGACAAGGGCACGGACCGTGGAGAATTAATCTGTAACATTACATATAAAAAAAATATAACTTCGTAACTTCACACCTTTTTTCCCCGAAGAGGTAGGCTATACTAGGCAGATAGAGGTGCACATTACGGCACGTAATGCCACTGTACAATGTAACACCCACTTTTCACTATTTATGTTATGAGTCCCATGTAATAGGTGGTGAGCCTATTGCCATATACCGGGCACAATTCCAGACCAGTATTAAAAACTCAGTATTACTTTGCCGGACCCGGGAATCAGACCAGAGAATAATTTGTTAAACACAAAAACAAACGTTACATAGCATTATGACGTCATGTTTTGATGATAACTATCGTGAGACATACTAAATTAACTAAAATCGCGGGTTACTCACGTGAATATACTGAGAAAAGCTCTACTAGTTACGAACCACAGAGGGGTTCTTCCTCATAAGCAGCGTGCGCGGTCGTGACTTGGTACCGAACCCGGAATTGAACCCACTACTCGCGCTGCTGGTGAACGTACCGTGCGCTTTAACATCGTCCAACGTGCCGCCGGAGTTGGAAGCAAACGCTCGTGGTGTCCGCCAGAGGGCGCGGTGGGCTCGCAGCGCAAGTAGCAACACCGACGTCGCTGCGACCTCGCACTCTGCTCATGAGGAAGAGCCCCTCTGTGGTTCGAAACTAGTAGAGCTTTACTCAGTATATTCACGTGAGTAACCCGCGATTTTAGTTAAATTATGACGTCATGATATCAGACAGTACCTCACAGGTATCCTTGACTTCCTGATGATGACCATAACACATCTGTGTGGAGTGGTCATACCCTCGTCGCAGCAGCCTGTGTAGAGGGTACAGCTTGGAACACTCATCTTCTGGAAACTCCTGGAGGTACACCTAGAGAGAAAATGTGAAAAATATAGTAAGTAAGAGTTCTAAACTAAAAAATAAATATTTATACTCGGAATTTTAATTCGATTTTAGATTTGACAATTTCAGTGTTGCAACGTTATGACAAGTACTAAATAGTGACGTTACGAAATTATTCGATATGGAAATGCAATATTTCTGGATCGATTCTTCTCGTTTATAATTTTACTCGCGTAAACTAAGTATATCAGGAAATTTAATATTTCTGAACCGATAATTTAGTTTTAACGATTAATTAACGATCTGAGACTTTTCTTTTATAATTGTGTGTGAAATAAATAAAAAAATGTAATCATGAAGGAACATGACAAATAAAACAGATAGATGTATTATGGTAATAAGTTATTTTATAAATTGTCGCCGTCATCGCTATCGCTATCCTGTCACTTTCTGTAACATTTATTATAAAACACACACACTGATTGTTTATCGATTTTTGTGTTCATCACTACACTATTATATGTGGTATCATTATTTCACAAAATGACAGTAGCTATTGTCAAATCTGGAATCTAATTAAAATTCTGACTATAGT